GTCTGCCCGCATAGAAAGCGTTCCCAGGGTCCGGAGAGGCCGACCCCTCGGCCCCGAGGGCGGCAATCGGGTCGGGCGGCGCGTCGGCCGCCGACCGGGCGAGGGGCCGCCCGCGGAGTGCCCCGCCAGAGTTTGCGGCGCGATCGGAGGGGGTCCCCATCGCTCGTGGAGGGTTTTTTGTCCCGGCGACACGTGAGAGCGAAACTATTCGTTCATCTGTTTGGAGCGATCCGCTCTTGACTTCACCTTTTTCATTCACTTTTTCGGGGGGCGTCGCTTTCGCTTTCACTTCCAGACTATGAATTAGCTCACGTCTTCTGGGCTTCGCTTAGTCTTTGCCGCCGTCGCCTTATCAGTAGGCGCGCTTGGTGCGCCCTCCTACTGCTAGGATCGAATGGTTTTCAGGGGGGGGGGGGGGCGGAAACCCAGTCTATGTTCAACGCCTTTCAAAAAAACGGCGCCTTCCCAAAACAGCGGCCGATGTCGTTGTTGGACATCGTCTGCTGCTCGGCATCGTGGCCATTTTGATCTGTGCCCATCTGTGGCATGCCGAACATTCGAGGGATTGCTTGAACTTGTTTGCGTCGGCGGCGAGGCAGGTGTCGTCTGCGCCACCATGCAAGAGGGATTGCTTGAACAGGAAGTCCTGTAGACTTTCCGTCGTCCCGGCCTGCGAGGGGGCGGTTTCCGGGCCCTGGTACATCAAATTTGGATTTGGTTAGAGATTTCTGGGAGAAGAAGAAGACAAACGCCATAAACATTAACGTTTTTGCCCTCCGCGCGGATTCTTTGGATCTGCGCTGGGAGCGCGCCAGGGGCGGCGCGGGAGGCGCCGCCAGGGGGCCCAGCGCGGATCTTTATTCTCCTCTTCATTCTAATGCCCCCCTCCCTCCCTCCTTCCTCCTCCTGCCTCGTTCCTCCATGCACAGACCCTCGACGCCGTGATGTCTTCTTACCTTGGACCTCCGGAGGTCTCGACATTCCCCCGGGGCCGGTTTTTTTCATCCCGTGGTAATATTACGTCGGGAGGTTATCGGCAAGCTTCGGGCTCCCGGGCCTCGCCCTGGGACCGTCCAAAGACGCCTCGTGATGAGAAGCGGGCCCCGGGGAGAGGGGCGGGACGTCCACGGATCGCATCTAGATCGAGACGTCGTTTATTCGGGCTCGGCGCCCCCTGCCTCTTACACTCCTCAGGATGCAACCCCGGGGAGGCCAAAGTCAGCACATCGTCGCTGGTACAAGTATCCGTTGTCGAAGACCAGGCTAGTCCGGCAGAGTTCCGCGCAGTTCCGCTGAAGTTCTGTTTGTTGGACGCCCGAAATGGGTACCAGTACGGACAGGATGGGTACAATACCCAACAGAAAATGTTGTCCAAAACCAACCGCGGCCGCTTGCTGGGCAGGCGGTCTTCTGCCTCGAGAGGATGGCGCCCACGGCGACACCGACAGCAAGTCTTGCTCAACATGGAGCAGAAACTGCTGTCGGTCTTTGTACCCACTCTTCCTGCACCCGTTGCGTCCCGATTTTGTCCGCCCAAGTTGGCTCAATCTCTGTCCTAGTCCAAGGCTACTCCGCCGCCCAGTCCTTCGGCTTACACCTTCATGGGCCCTACTCGTTCTTGCCAAGGCCTCCCAGGAGCTGCCTCTCCTCAGATTCCTCCCCCCCCCTCCTCGGCTCTCTCTCCGTGGTGGGGAGCCATCCTCGGGGCGGAACGAGTACGAAGCAAGGGAAGACGAGAAAACAGCTCGAAAGCGGACGGCACCGTTCAGGTCGAGCACTGGTCATCCCTATCCACCGCCTGGGGGAGCGATGTCCTCTGGCCCCGGCAGGCGGCGGCACGCACCTGTGCGGGCCCCCCTGGGGCCAGCAGGCAGCCATACAGTGGGGGGCCCTGCCAAGAAACACCCTGCTTGCCTCCAGGGTGCCCTCTGGTTTATCGGGTTCCCATGGCTCTGCCAGGGAAAGCGTGGCGCTCCCACACCAAAAGACAACGGACGCCCTGGGGTCTCCGGGCTGGGTTTCCGGTGGAAGGCTTCTTGTGTAGACTGGCCTCCACTGCAATCATCCATCTGTGCGGACCCCCTGGGGCCAGCATGCGGCCACAGCCACCGCCCGCTGGGGTCCCAGGGCGTCGGCTCCACCGTCGAAAGAGAAAAAACGCCATGAACATATAAGCTTTTGGCGCTCCGCGCGGATTTCTTGGATCCGCGCGGGGCCCCCCCAGCGGCGCCTCCGGCGCCGCCCCTGGCGCGCTCCGCGCGCCCCGCGCGCCCGGGAGGGGGGTGGCCAGCGCAGATCCCAGGATCCCGCGCGGAGCGCCATAAGTTTATGTGATCAAGGCGTTTTTGTAATTATGATTGCTATTACCGTTTTTATTATTATTATTAGTAGTATTATTACGGTTATTATTATTAATATTATTATTATTAGTATTAGTAATACTATACTTATTATTATTAATATTAGTATTGTTATTATTATTATTATCATTACTATTATTATGATTATTATGATTATTATTATTATCATTATTCTCAATAACTGTTTTTATTATTAGCAGTATTAGTATTGTTATTATTATTATTGTTGTTATTATTATTATGATGATCATTATCATTAGCATTATGATTATTCTTATTGATATTATTACAATTATTATTATTATTCTCATTACTATTATTGTTATTATTCGTTTCTTCTTCGTCTTCTTTTTCTTCTTCCTCTTCCACACAGGCGGTGGCTCCAGACGCGTCCCCGCCTCGCGCCTCCCACGGGCGCCAGCGCGCCTGGGGCGGCGCCGCCCTCCCGCGGGCGGGCCTGGCGGCCTACGACGCGGTGCGGGGCCTCTCCTCGCGGATGGCGGCGCCGCCCGTGCCGGGCGAGGGGCCCGCAGGCGCGAGGGCGGGGTGGAGCGGGCGGTTCGAGGTGCGAGTCTTTCGAGCAGTGGCGAGGCGCCCTGGCTCGCCCAGGGCCCCACCACCGAGTGCTCTGAGAACCTCTTTCGTGGTTCCCGCGAGAAGGTTCTCAGCACAGTTCTGGTGGGGGCTGTCTTGTTTCATCGCGTCGGGTTTGTGTTCTGAGAACGTTGTGCTTTTTCTTAAGACGTTTCAGGGTACTAAGAGCACTTCGTGGTAGGACTATAGGAGTGCCGGGACGGTCGGTCCCTGCTCAAGTCTTGGCAGGCGGACGTGTTTGATGCCTTGTGTTGCCGATCGGCGCGGGCCCTCGCGCACCCCCTCGCGTTGTGAAGAAGTCAGGATGGGAGGTTTGCTACATTTTCGGACTCTCGGGGCCCTCGCTGGGCCTCGGGACCGTCAACAAGACGACGACTCAGGATGAGAAGCAGGTCCTGGGGAAGGGGTCAGACTTCTGGGGGGCGACGTCACGAAACAATCATGACGTCGGGGGTCTGGGCCTCGACCTCCCCCCCCGCCCCCTCCCCCACACGGAGCAGATCTTGGCTGTTTTGGGCGCCTGCTTCGAGCAGGTGGAGTCTCCCCCAGAGGACGCACTGCTGCAAGCAGTCGCATTCAGCAGAGATCCGGAGCCAGACCCCCCCCCCCTGTCCCCCCTCCCCATCCTTCCCGCCCAGTGTCGGAACGCCGAATAAGAGAACGTTCGCCAGGTTGCATTCCGCATCGTCGCAATTGTTCGAGATGTGGTTTCATGATCCAGGGAGGACACCACGGACGCCATTTGGGCAGCTACGACAGGAAGAGAGCCCTGCGGAGAGCGCGCGGCAGAAGTCGAGCGTGCTGCAGAAGCTCCAGCGTCTCTCACACGGCTCCACCACGACGTTAGCAGCAGTTCAGCAGTTCCCACTGGCGACAGGTCTTCAGCAGCGGGCCGATCGATGGGGCCCTCCTGGAAAGATGGCTGGCGTCACTCCCGCTGCCTTCGGAGGCTGGCGGCGGCGGCCCCTGGGGAGACCGCGCCCCAGATCTCCCTTTGCAGCGGCGCCGTGCGCCCTGGAGTCGGCTTTCTCATCGGCGCTGCGATTGGGCGGTGGGGATATCGGACATGATGTCCGCAATCGAACTGTCCAACAACTCCTCGCCAGGCCCAGACGACATCCCTTCCGGCGCCTGGCGTGCCCTTGGAAGCGCCGACATGCTATTGGCAATGTCGAAAGTGATGGAGCCCAGGGACGCCGAAGCCGCATTGAACGACGCCTACTATGACGAAGCCAGCGACGGCGAGCACATTTTCAATTTGTCCACGCTGGTATGTCTGCCAAAGGAGGCAGTCGGGGAGGACCCTGAACCAGGTACATATAACAAGGATGCTGCCACACGTCCGCTTTCGATCGTCAACAACGGTAGCCGCTTCCTGACCAGTGCGATGAGAATCAGATAGGGACGACAAGTGCAAGGATTATCTCGCGGTCGGCAGCAGGGATTCTTGAAGCACCTTTCGTTGCTTTGCAATCAGGTCGAGGTGGACACCGCGATGCTGTTCACGGGCCTGGATGTAGACGAGGGCGCGGCTGTTTTCCTGGACTTCGAAGCGGCGTTCCCGTCCATCTCCCACGAATATATTGAGCGGGTGTTGGGCGGGGATCCCGGAGAACGCGCTTAACGCTTTTTTTTTTTCTTCTACGCATGAAGCCGTTGCGGCCTGTCGCTCAAGGGGCAGACCTCTTCGCAGGCTTCCCGCTCCTGGTAGGAGTCCGACAAGGCTGCCCGCTGTCGCCGGCCGCGTACGCTTTGGTGGCGAAAGGATGGTTAAAGAAGCTGGACGTTGATTTACACGGCGTATTCGTGCGCGCGTATGCGGACGGCACGGTGTTTGTTTTGAAGAATTTGCTTTGCTCGCTTCCTCGATTTGATCGCTTATTTACATTATTCGGCATCGTATTTGGGTTGCGAATGAATGTGCGAAGGTCTGTCGTGGTTCCATTCAAGACGGCGCCGTTGGAACAGGACGCGGCGTCTTTCCTGGAGCACGCCGGGTCCTGGAAAGACATTGCATTCTAAGTGTCTGCTGACAATCTCGGACTCATGCTTGGACCTGGCAAGGGCAGCAAGACCTGGCAGAAGCCCCTGGCGAAGTTCCACCGGCTCGTTCACATGTGGCAAGACGCGCCGCTGGGATTGCATTGGCAGGGTCGGGATTTCAACGCGTTCATCCTGCCCGCGCTCGCGTACGCGGTTCAGTTCAAGCGGCCTGACATTTTCGTGCAGGGCGAGGCGCAAGGATGGCGGGTGACAGCTGCGCCCTCCGCGCTCTTCCTGCTGGCCTTTGTCCCCGCTGCCTGGGCGTCCCTCGCGGACATGTGGCTCCTGCGGGACTCCTTCGGCAGCGCCGCGCCCTTCCAAAACTTGGCATGGACGGCTGTTTTTCCCAACCATCCTGTGGTGTTGGGTCCTCGTTTTGAAGAGACGGTGCCCGCGTCCTCTCCTCCTCTTCCCCCTCCTCCCTCCTCCCCCTCCTTGCCTCTGCTCTCGGCACACCTCTCACGCGTTTCGTAGCCCCATAGGGAGCTCCACCGAAGGCCCCAGTGGGGGTGTCCACATGCGGTTCCCCCACCCAGGGCAGCGTTTCGTGGCCCCATAGGGAGCTCCACCGAAGGCCCCAGTGGGGGTGCATGCGGTTCCCAGGGCAGCCGTGGCCCCATAGGGAGCTCCACCGAAGGCCCCACCACAGTTCGTTTCGTAGCCCCATAGGGAGCTCCACCGAGGCCCCAGGTTCCCCCACCCAGGGCAGTGGGAGCTCCACCGAAGGCCCCAGTTCGCATGCGGTTCCCCCACCAGGGCAGCGTTTCGTGGCCCCATAGGGAGCTCCACCGAAGGCCCCAGTGGGGGTGTTCGCATGCGGTTCCCCCACCCAGGGCAGCGTTTCGTAGCCCCATAGGGAGCTCCACCGAAGGCCCCAGTGGGGGTGTTCGCATGCGGTTCCCCCACCCAGGGCAGCGTTTCGTGGCCCCATAGGGAGCTCCACCGAAGGCCCCAGTGGGGGTGTCACATGCGGTTCCCCCACCCAGGGCAGCGTTTCGTGGCCCCATAGGGAGCTCCACCGAAGGCCCCAGTGGGGGTGTTCGCATGCGGTTCCCCCACCCAGGGCAGCGTTTCGTGGCCCCATAGGGAGCTCCACCGAAGGCCCCAGTGGGGGTGTTCGCATGCGGTTCCCCCACCCAGGGCAGCGTTTCGTGGCCCCATAGGGAGCTCCACCGAAGGCCCCAGTGGGGGTGTCCACATGCGGTTCCCCCACCCAGGGCAGCGTTTCGTGGCCCCATAGGGAGCTCCACCGAAGGCCCCAGTGGGGGTGTCCACATGCGGTTCCCCCACCCAGGGCAGCGTTTCGTGGCCCCATAGGGAGCTCCACCGAAGGCCCCAGTGGGGGTGTCCACATGCGGTTCCCCCACCCAGGGCAGCGTTTCGTGGCCCCATAGGGAGCTCCACCGAAGGCCCCAGTGGGGGTGTCCACATGCGGTTCCCCCACCCAGGGCAGCGTTTCGTGGCCCCATAGGGAGCTCCACCGAAGGCCCCAGTGGGGGTGTCCACATGCGGTTCCCCCACCCAGGGCAGCGTTTCGTGGCCCCATAGGGAGCTCCACCGAAGGCCCCAGTGGGGGTGTCCACATGCGGTTCCCCCACCCAGGGCAGCGTTTCGTGGCCCCATAGGGAGCTCCACCGAAGGCCCCAGTGGGGGTGTTCGCATGCGGTTCCCCCACCCAGGGCAGCGTTTCGTGGCCCCATAGGGAGCTCCACCGAAGGCCCCAGTGGGGGTGTTCGCATGCGGTTCCCCCACCCAGGGCAGCGTTTCGTAGCCCCATAGGGAGCTCCACCGAAGGCCCCAGTGGGGGTGTTCGCATGCGGTTCCCCCACCCAGGGCAGCGTTTCGTGGCCCCATAGGGAGCTCCACCGAAGGCCCCAGTGGGGGTGTTCGCATGCGGTTCCCCCACCCAGGGCAGCGTTTCGTGGCCCCATAGGGAGCTCCACCGAAGGCCCCAGTGGGGGTGTTCGCATGCGGTTCCCCCACCCAGGGCAGCGTTTCGTGGCCCCATAGGGAGCTCCACCGAAGGCCCCAGTGGGGGTGTTCGCATGCGGTTCCCCCACCCAGGGCAGCGTTTCGTGGCCCCATAGGGAGCTCCACCGGAGGCCCCAGTGGCTGCTCTCGCATGCGGTTCCCCCACCCAGGGCAGCGCTTCGTGGCCCCATGGGGAACTCCACCGAAAGCCCCCGTGGCGCAGTTCGCATGCGCTTCCCCCACCCAGGGCAGCGCTTCGTGGCACCAAAGGGAGCTCCACCGAAGGCCCCAGTGGGGGTGTTCGCATGCGGTTCCCCCACCCAGGGCAGCGTTTCGTAGCCCCATAGGGAGCTCCACCGAAGGCCCGCCCCGGTGGCGCAGTCCGCATGCGGTTCCCCCATCCAAGGCAGCGCTTCGTGGCCCCATATGGAGCCCCACCGAAAGCGGCACCCACAACGCGTTACCAACAATTGCTTATGGTTGGGTCTTTCGCCTGGATAATTTCTTATGTTTTTTTTTTGTTTCGGTCCTTCTTCTTTTCAGGTGCGGGTTTTGCAGAGCGACAGAGGCGTCGACAGCAACTTGCAGTTCCGTGAGTTCCGTGAGGACGGTGCTCAGTTGCGCCAGGCGTGTGCCAACGCAGGTGCGTTGCAATGGAAAGATTAGTTTTCGTGCGGTTTCCTTTTCCGGCCATTGTGGAAACCATCCAGGGAGCATTTAGGGGAGGAAGAGGAAAAGGCCGAGGGAGGAAAGGGGAGGAGGAGGAGGAGGAGGAGGAGGAGGAGGAGGAGGAGGAAGAGGAGGAGGAGGAGGAGGAGGAGGAGGAGGAGGAGGAGGAGGAGGAGGGTGAGTTTTAGGGGCACCCTTTGGGCTTCCTAGGAGCTTACCGGGGGCCTTTTGGAAGCTTTTTGGGGGCTTCCTGTGGGCCCGTGAAAAACATCTCGGGGGCTTGCTTAGGCCTCCTGGGGGCCTTTGTGGGTTTCTTGGGAGGCTCTTTGGCCGTCTGAAGGCGTGCCGTGCCTTTCGGAAGCCGTCTTGGGGGCCTCCCTGGGCCAGCTTGGGGCTCCTGGGGCGCTCCAGGGCCGTTTTGGAGGCTGTCGTGGGCGTATTGGAAGCCTTTTGGGCCGTCTTGGGGGCCGCTTTGGATGCCTATTGGGCCGTCATGCGGCCATGTCGGAGGTCTTTTGGGCGCTTCTGGGGCCATGGTTGTCCTTAGCCGTCTTGGGCAGCGGGAAGGCAAAAGAAGCAAATGCCCACATCCTTCAACTAAGGGAAATTCCTGGGGGACGTCTTGGAACCCAACCCTTTTGGGATGTTTTGGAGGACATGTTCGGGACATCTTGGCCATCTTGAAGGCCGTCTTGGCCGTTTTGGGAGAAACCCGATGGACGGTTGATTTCCCGCACTGCCGGCAGGTTTGGGCCGAAGTCCACAAGGACATCGCCAAGAAAAAATAATATTTTTCAGCAGTTTAGCGCGCCAGGCAATCATGTGATGAATCACCAGGGGGCGACGGATCTAGTCGCCCCCCGCCCGCCCATCCCGCTACAATGCTTGGGTTGTAGGTCAGCGGCCTCCTGGATGCGTGTGAGGATCTCTCTTGGGAGGCCTCTCAGGTGCCACGGATGCCAGCTGGAGGCGACGGTTGGGGGTGTCTTGGGGCTTGTTTTTGTTTTTTGGGGGGGGGGGGGGGGGGCGATCGAGGCCTGATGTGGGCCCTTGGGGGCCTCCTGGGGCCTCTTGGGGCCTCTTGGGCGCACTTCGGAAGCATCGACGGCAATCTTGGGCCATCTTGGGCGCCTCGTAGGGCGGCCGTCTTGGGGGCCACGACTCGAGGGGGTCGGGTGCGTCTTTTTGGTCGCGTTTTGCTTCGCAGCTCGAAATCCGCGGCCGGCCCGCCCGACGAATTGGCCTCTGGGTGCGACAGGGAGAAGTTAATTATGAGGAAAAGGAGTGGAAGTAGGAGGAGGAGGAGGAGGAGGAGGAGGAGGAGGAGGAGGAGGAGGAACTGGAGGAACTGGAGGAGGAGGAGGAGGAAGGAGGAGGGCCAGAGGCCGAGGAGGAGGAGGAGGAGGACAAGGAGGAGGAGGAGCGCAGCAGGGATCGAGCAGACGTCCTGCCCACCCCTGCCAGCGCTTCGAGTCTGCCTGTCCCCGATCGGTTGTTCGGGGCGGACCCTGGCCGTGGCAGCGAGAAGTCCTGCAGGAGGCCCAGCTCGACGACCCACTCGAGGGACGATCTCTTCTCGTCGTGACTTCTGTCGCGCCTCCAGGGGGGTCCGTGGGCGGCACCCCACAGGGAGGTGGCGCGATCGAAGTCACACTGCAGTGCACAACGCCTCACATGAGATCAGCACTCAAGAAGGACACGAGAAGGCGTGGAGGACAGTCTGAAACCACAATTGCCACACCCCCCGAGTGATGATCGCTGCCGCAGCGAGCTAACGAGAGAGAATGTCTCCTTCGAGCGCCAGCTTCTACTAAGGCGGCGGGGCTGCTGAGCAGGCAAGGGGTGGCTCACCACCCACCACCCCGCCCCAACCCAACCCGAAGGCTTCAATTTGCCCTCCACTTCCAGTGGGGGGGGGCGGGGAACATTGGAAACAACACATACGGAACCCGTACCCCCCCCAACCCGAAATTCGGGTCTTCGGGTTAGGTTGGGGTGGTCTGGTAGGTAGTCAGTGGCTTTTTAGAACCCCTTCCATCCCGGAAGAGGAGGAGGAGGAAGGAGGAGGAAGGAGGAGGAAAGAGGAGGAAGGAGGAGGAAGGAGGAGGAGGAGGAGGAGGAGGGAGGAGGAGGAGGAGGAAGGAGGAAGGAGGAGGAGGTGGAGGTGATGGTGGAGAGTGACAAGGAGACAGGAGTGACAGGACCAAGGACTCGGAGGCCCATCCGACTGCGGGCCTTCTTAGAGACCTCTGGGGCCTTCCGAGGTGGTACGCCGCCCCCCCTCGCGCCACCGCCTTAGAGCCTGGGCCTCCCAAGCGGGGCCCGGGCAGATGGGGTCGATGCGTCGCGCTGGATCCCCGATGCATCGGCTATGCAGCTCGATATGGAGCTCCACTTCCTCCACGCCAGCGCTGCCGATGCATCTCCGATGCAACCACAATGCGAAGCCTTTCTCCGACCCCATCTACTCGGACCCCACTTGTGAGGCCTCTATTTTTATGCAATGGGGACGCGCTTTAAGACACCAGGTGCTGTTCGTTCGTTCGCCAGGGCTTCCTGGGTTTCTTCGCCCCGCGCGCTTTGCGAGGACCTCCCGCGGGCTCTTGCAGGCTGCTGCATTCAGGGTGCCGTCGGCTTCCCCACAATATCTCACTTCGCGCGAAGATGTTCAGGGCTAGGCTCCTTGCGACGGTTCC